TAATGACTGTAGTGTACATAAAAATGATCTCTATAATTCTAAATTTAGATCCTTTAATATATTTTCCATCCGTCCACGCTAAATCTATATGAATTTTATTTTTTTTTTTCAATTAACAAAGGTTTCGATATCGAGACAAATCTGTGTTGATCTGAATAAAATCTCATTGAAATTCATGGTTGTTCTTTTAATCATGGTTCCAATGACAAAGATAATATGATACAGTTCACTTTTCGAAATTTTTAGAAACCAAAATGAATTGATATGCGTAAGATTTAAATATATACTTAAAGGGTTGCAAACACTTTAGATTTTTGTATAAACAAATACATTATATATACCTGACAACGACGAAGATGGAAATGATTATATTTCATTAATGAAAGTTTGCATTAATATGAAATTCTTTTCTCATGAAAAGGTAAAATAACAAAAACATCGAACTCCAAGAAAAATTTAAAACGGAAAGTCCTTTATCAAATGGCAAAATCCAAAACTCAAACAAATCAACCGAATTGCAAACAACTGTCATATTCCTGACTTGGTACAGGCATTTCCTTACTTGTCTCAATTTTCCATAAAAACTTTATTCTATTTTAGATTAAAAATGTCTTAAAGCGGACGTGGTACTCATCAAAGCTGCTACTTAGACTTTGTAAAACGTGAACAGTGCCTGACCAGAAAGTTGATGAACCAGGGGTATATCAAAGAACGTCTCGTCCTTTTTCTAAAAATGTTCATCGGAAGATACCAAGACCTTGTTGATAAATATTCAGTATCATTTTCACAAATAATACAAGATGGTCTTGAAGTACAGATTCTAGGTACTGACGTTGTTTATCATCTTGATAACGTGTTATAGTATTCTTTTATTTGTCTTTGTAAATTATTACCTTTACTATTTAGTCTATTTTTGGCCATATCTATTTGACATGGCTCGGTACTTATACATCCCTCCATTGTGTTATTGTGCTATGGTAAATTTTTGTATTCTTGTCTTTCGTTTTTGCTTATGTGTTTTGTCTATATAGATATAAGAAGATGTGGTATGAGTGCCAATGAGACAACTCTCCATTCAAGTCAAAATTTATAAAAGTAAACCATTATAGGTCAAAGTACGGTCTTCAACACGGAGCCTTGGCTCACACCGAACAGCAAGCTATAAAGGGCCCCAAAAATTACTAGTGTAAAACCATTCAAACAGGAAAACCAACGGTCTAATCTATATAAAAAACGAGAAACGAGAAACACTTGTGAACCACATCAACAAACGACAACTACTGAACATCAGATTCCTGACTTAGGACAGGTGCAAACAATTGCAGCGGGTTTAAACGTTTTAATGGTACAAAACCTTCACTCTTATCTGAAACACTAGTGTAACATCACAACATAGAAAGACACACTATAAGATATCAATTGAAATGGCTTAACTCAATCGAAAGACATATTAACACCAGTGAATAAATTTGATCTATGAAAAAATGTAAATACAAAATAAATAAACTAGAGAAGAATAATTAAAGTAACATGTTATACCGCTGTTAAATGTTAAACAATTTAAGAAAAACAATATTCTTGAACAAAAATATCAGCCATTTGCAATACTTTAAACAGAGGTAAATGAAAATAATTTTGTTGTTAGGCATACGTGTACAGTTCAAATGGAAAAAGGAAATATTTTTACAAAATAAATATTTTTGATGTTCATAGTACGAGGAAGTGAAAATTTATAGTAATACCAAACACTTATCAAAGCTGGTATATAGACCAGATATAACCCCGAAATAAATAAACATTAAATAACAAAAAAAGCATTACAATTAGTATCAACCGGTCCAACAAAACAAGAAAGTACGATTTGAGAGTACTCGCAGTTACTGACAGCTAGTTAAAAGCCAAAAACAATTATGCCTTTTTGTTTATCTTTGTTGACATATTTGCTTGTTTTTATAGTGATTAAGTTTATAACACAATGTTGACTGCTGTGCCCCTATTTTTTCTATATTTTTACCTATCAGTCTGCTTGTTTTGTTCACACATCGTTGTCAATATAATGGACTCTATGCGACTGTCATACAAGTGAGAGGTTTAATTAGCTATAAAACCAGGTTTAATCCACCATTTTCTACATAAGAAAATGCCTGCAATGGCAGGAATATGACAGTTGTTATCAATTCGTTCGATGTGTTTGGGCTTTTGATTTTGCAATTTGCTAAGGGACTTTCCGTTTAGAATTTACCTCTGAGTTCGGTATTTTTGTTATTTTACCTTTTTCTAAATAAAGAAGTCAATTCTAGTTATTCAAAAATCTTTAATAGATATTTCATGTAATTACAAGTGAGGAAAAATTCCGTGTCAGTTACTTTTAAGGATTTTGTTAAAAAATCAATTATTAGTAAAAGATTCCCGAAGATTGATTCACGATTTCTCATGGTAACTTTAAATTTATATACGAGTTGTTTGAGCAGTTTGATGTTCTTATACTTAATTCATAATTTTATGGTTGTTTATGCTTAGTGATCATGCGATTTTATAAGATAGGAAACGAAATAAGCATTTACTTTTCGGAGAAACAAAGAATGCTGTTGTGACCGTTATATTTTCAACGTTTGTCTATGCAATACAATGAAACGAAATACAACAGAGAGTCCATAAACTTAAAACAACAGACAAAATTTAAAAGATAAAACACTCGTTAACACTCGTTAACATCTATCTTCCTTGACCTTCCTTGTTGATGAATATGCTACTGTCCCTCAGAAATAACATTTTAGTTTGTAAACTTTGAAAGTGTGGACAGTTACCTGGAAACCCAACTTAAACATCCACACTCCTTTCAAAAGGGGAAATCCTGAGAATCGTAGGTCGGTTTCAACTTTCTTTTCAATTTAAACAAAAGACGAAGGACTGAATTATTTCATTCTCTAGATACATGTACCACTTAAAACGTTTCCTTAGAAACAAACGTTAAATTACTGGGTCTGTCAAATGCTCAGGAAAACATCTTTCAAAATTATTGGTATCCATTTTACCACAATCAAAACCGGAAATTGTTGTAAAACTACCAATTATAGAACTGATGTGAATCATATGTGAATACTAATAAAATCACAATGTCTGTTAGATTACTCAAAATCAAATTTACAGTGTACTCTCCTCTTAGCACTAGTTATACTCATTCTCAACTTAAAACTTAAAAACAGATTAAGGCAAGCAGTCCAATTTTGTTTCATTAACTCAAATACATGTACTAATATTTTGTATTAGGAAGGGACAAATTATAGTTTGAAAAAAGTACTCTGATCAAAGCCTCTTTTGTAAACTTTTATTCATTATTCACTGAAACTGACATTATACAAATGGTGGATTTTTTTTATTGACAACATATTTGTTCCATTCAGCGGACGTCTTTCGCAATAGACAATCGGGATTCCTATCGAAAGCAATTGTCTCTGCATGCCGACTTCATCTTTTTGTTCTAAAGGGACATACTTCATGCAAAATTTCCCATGAAAAATCAAAAAAGCCGAAAAAAGTGTTTTTTTATCCTTAAAGAACACTTTAAGCTACTAGTATACGGACAATGTCTTTTTATTGAAAAAATGCGTGACTGTTGACAGCATTTATCCAAATCGAACTAAAATTAATTATCCAACAGAACCCTTGTGCTTACTGTCGTGATTTCCTTTATTAAACCTAACCACCTACGGAGAAACTTTTTCATCAAGTGTTTTAAGTGAGAAATTTGAAGTATTTTCCACTTATAGTTACCACAATACCGTCCTCTTTCCTATTGCGCCAAACCTAATGTGACTTATCATCGGATTTTTCCTTGTGTAATCAATTCTACGGGTGTCACATGTGCTCAGCCTTCCGGAGTACCTAATTCTATCCCCAGTTTTTGAAATGGTTCGTGTTATTCAATCTTAAACCTTTCTGTGTAATGTTTTGTTATTATTGTTGGTATTTTCGTCATTTCTATTCTTGGCCATGGTGTTGACTTCAGATAAAAATGATTTGCAAAAACGGTCTCTGTTAGTGGTCAATTTTCCGAATAATGTCATTGTTTCAAGTTTAGTATTCCTACATTTACAACAGCAAGTGTAGAGAACTTGGCGTAATGTGTGGCATCTGACATTCACCTTGGTTTAGTAAGCGCATTACACATTTATAGTAAGAAAGGGGGTTGCAAAACAGGTGATTCATCAAAAAAGTGAAATTGGAAAAAAGAATGTATTTTGCCGAGGTCAGATTCAGTCTACATCAGTCAATTAGTTTAGTAGATGACAGGGTGAAAGATTCCTAATCATACAAATTATTTTTTTCTTTTTCGAATTGATTGGAACAGGAAATGCTGTTAATGGATTCGTTTTTCTAATGTTTAGGTATGGATATTAACTATTGTTCACATATGTTTACTTTTTTGTGATTTTTGTGATTGTTTACGAGCCTGTTGCTTAATTTAGTTTTTTGTGGTATTTTATTTAGGGGCGATGTAAATCGGTCAATGTATGGCGAAATAGTATTACGTTTTCCTTCTTACTTGTTACCATTCCATTATGTATTCTTCACTCAAATAGCTAGTATGACATGGTACATAAACTTAGTGATGACAACAACCAATTTGTAAAAGAAATACGACAGCAAATACCAAATAATCGAAATAGTTTACAGTGAATCACCATTACCGCCAAACGATTCTAACCCCAGCTAATTATAAAATTTAAATAAATGATCTACATACTATTCTAGGGATAAAATTCTAGCATTTAGGAGATCATAATAAAAAAATAATATATAAATATATATAATGTTCTTATATAACAAATATGTATGAAACAGTCTGTCTTACCTGTTCGACATTCTTTCTTTGCAATGATTTGGGTTAAATTAGATATTGTGAAATTTTCCCCAAAAAAAACCTGTCATTTTTTCCAAAAGATTTAAAAATAGTTTCATCAACCTTTATTTTAGGGACTTTGAAATTTATGTTTAAGTTTCATTTGAATAGATGAAGTCTTCCAAACAAGGTAAGTCAATAGTTTGTGACATCAATTTCATCCTAATTTATTATTTATTTTAATTATTATTTATCTTAATCTTTTTCCCTACATTTCCTTTAAGGCTAAAGAAACAATTATTTATGACAGGAAGCTGAGACACTGCTTGATGGCACTTTCATGATTCTTCGTTTGTAACAATTACCGATCATTCCAGCTATCTCAGAACATTTTTACATAGCGAAAATTATTACATCTTTCAATAAGGTGTCCTATATTAGATTTACATCCTATAATTTATCACTCTGCTGTAATTCACACCCTATTATATCGAGGATGGACTCGATGGCCGAGCGGTCTTAGATTTTCATATACAGTAATCAATGGACAATCAACAATAGTTGTGAATTTGAGTCCCGCTCTTTATCGACCAGGATTGTCAGTTGTCCTGCCAGATGGTCATTGGCAATATATGGCATTTCCAACTTCTTCTATACCAATAACAACTGGCCACAATGATAAAGCCAATAGTGCTAAAAATGGCGTTAAATGTCAACAATACGTCATTCATATATTACCGGCTATCGTTACTGCAGATGTAATTTAACGAACGATGTTCGATATAAAATGTAGGCAATTGTATTCATATTTCTGCTGTTTGAAGTAATTGTATTGTAATAAGTTTTATTTCAATAATAAATCAGAGGCGGAATATACCAATAGGACATTCAAAACTCCTAAATCGAAAGAAACTGACAACACCATAACAAAAATACGAAAGACGAAGCCAGTGAACAAAACCGATATCATGGAGATAGGACAGCTGCTTAGCAAAATTTGGACCTTAAAAAATGAATGAAGCATGAGCGTTCATGGACTCGTCAATAAACCATGTTTCCCTCAACAACGAAGTTAAGATTACACACGTTGTGTATGCACTCGATCGCTTTCTCGTTTGGTTGTGGCCTGTTATCACACGAAAGGAGTGTGATATAAATAAGTGGTACAAAAAATGCGTTAAATTGGTTCGTCTCTCTTTCAAAGTGGGGTAAACACAACATTTCGCTAAACAAATTAGCTTCATCAGGCGCGTGCAGCCATCCAGGTAAAAATCGGTGCTGTAAAGACATTTTTGCAGCTTATTGTACATTACGATTATTAAGTCAAAACAAATAGTTGCGTTAGTTAAATAGTAAGAAGTTCAAGATTTATTCCTTTGGTTTTTGATAAAACTTGTTATTATCCACCTCATTCAGTCCATCAGGTTCAAGAGTACGTAGCTGATGCATCCAAAATCTCTTTCTGTTTTTCCTTTGTATGTCCCAATTTTAGTTGACCTCTATTATTTGGAAGGTGATATTTTCAAAAGTATGTCTTGTTCTTAAGAGGTGTCTCTTAATTAGGTAGTTTCTTTCTTTGGTTTAAAATGACCGATGATTATTAAGTCTGATGTTGAATTTAGTTTCTGTTTAAATAACATATTGCAGCTTGCAAGTTCCTCAAGTAAGAATGTAAATACTTTTTTCCGTTTGAGAATTAAATGCGTCTCTTTACGTCTCGTCATTTTATAAGAATCGCCCGCTTTATCACAATACAATGAACGAAGTTCATTTGTAGCTTTGTTGACATTTTTTTTGATATTCAGAAAAAGAATTATTTTCAAAATCAATAATATTTTATCGCACATTTTCACTAGGAAGTGCACCAACGATTTTATAACTTGATTCGTTTGACCACTTGTAACCTTTTGTTGCATTCCAACCAGTACGCACATATATCTAATATATTTTTACCATGGTAATTAAAAAAAAAAATCTTGATTATTTCTCTTCAGGACTTTATCTGTACTATGATTTTGTTGTAGTATATTTCCCTCACAAAAATCATTGAAATGTATAGAATCGTTTGTGATATAATCAGGATTTAGACTTGTTCGTGAATTAAAATCATCAATGAGGAGAATGTTCCCTCTATTTGTAAAAATGCTAATTTCCCTTTCTAAAGATTCGAAATCATTTTCATAATAATTTAATTTGATAGGAGTATGTAAACTGTACATAAATATAAATCTTTATCACAACCAAAAATGTTTCTATCAAGTTTTAACAAAAGACTTTTGAAGATGTGGTTCCTTTTCCTAAATCTGTTATACTTTAGATAATGCTTTTCTGTATAATACAATTATACCACCACTATTCCTACTTGCCTTCTTTCTTTCTTTTTTTTTCTTCCGTCATTTAGATATTTAAACATAATCTAGTAGATTAGCTTTATGATTACATGTAACACCAGTCCAAGTTTCTATAGGAATATTAATATCACTGTTTAATTTTTCCAAAAATGATTGATCATATAAAAAAGAAGATATGGTATAATTGCCAATGAGACAACTCTCCACAAGAGACCAAATGACACACAAATTTACAACTATAGGTCACCGTACGGCCTTCAACAATGAGCAAAGACCATACCGCATAGCCAGCTATAAAAGGTCCCGAAATTACAAATGAACAATTCAAACGAGAAAACTAACGGCCTTATTTATGTACAAAATAATGAACGAAAAACAAATATGTAACACAGCAACAAACGACAACCACTGAATTAAAGGCTCATGGCTTGGGACAGGCACCTACATACAGAATGTGGTGGGGTAAACTAGTTTAAAGACGCCAACCCTCCCCTAACCTGGGACAATGGTGAAACTGTACAATACAAGAACAAACTATAAAAATCAGTTGAAAAAGGCTTAATACATCAGATGGATACAAATAGAAATACATCTAACAAAAACACAGAGTGGACGTGGACGGATACTTGTACATCGCAACAACAAAAAGACACTAAGTACAGATCTGAGAGTACTCGCAGTTACTGACAGCTAGTTCAAAGCCAATAACAACTAATAAAAAAAATCATGTCAATGTATCGCCCAAACAACGAACATTCCAGGTAGATGAAGATAGCCGACTCAAGTTTGTATTCATGTTTAAACTATTTACTATCAAACTGTTGATGGACAATAAATTAGATATGATTGAAATCTACGAGCCTATTTTTTTAAACGTTCATTTTTATGCATATAAAGAGAGATAACTCTGTTTTTCTGTATGTCAAGTAACTTGGTGTTATAGGTTATCAATAAAAAATTAAACAATTAAACAATTAACCATAAAAAAAACTGTAATTACGAGATGTATAAAATACAAACACTTTGAAAAAGAATTTACTTCATTTCAAATAATTATAAATATCATGAAGATTGTTTCCTCTCAAGCTAAATGCTTTAAATATAATTTCTCTAACTCTTCGTCAATTTATCCCTTTCTGCACCCATTGTATAAAAAAAAAATTTAATCAACGTGTGGTTCGTTTGATCTCAGTTCTTCATTGGTTAAAATCCGATTATGACGTCGAATTTTCTTGCTTTCCTCTGAATTTCCTATTGTGACGGCATGAAAAAAGGTGACCATGCCCGATGACGTCACATAGAAAGAACACATCTGTTTGCAGATCATTCAAAAAGAAGGAATAAGTCTGCCTGCATATTGCTTGAAAATCATTAGAGAAACAGATTCCACCACCAAATCTCGTGTAATACAATATTTATCCACTCTCGACAGTTAAATTTTAAATATTTAAAACGCTCGGCGAGCCTCGCGTTTTAAATTTCAAAATTTAACTGTCTCGAGTGGATAAATATCGTATCACACTCGATGCAGTGGTAGAATCTATATATATCTGAAATAGATGTTAACCCATTAATCAATACTAGATGTTTGTTGTTGTTGTTGTTGTTGTTTTGTGTTTTTTTTTTTTTTTTTTTTCTCAATTCAGACTTTTTCTTTCATATTTGTTTTTTTTTTTTTTCGTCGCTGAATTTAAACAGATTATGTTCAAAATTGTTGAAAATGGGGAGTAAAATGTATTTATAAATACATAGCAAAATAATGATAATACAACTGTTTATACCTTTACACAGAGACACTAAATTTGCTTGTTATTTTTACATTGGGTTTCTTAAAAGTATCATTTAAGAATCAATCCTTGAAAATATTTATGATCTGATAAAAACACTGTTTAAAGAAAATGAACCGCTTGCAAATTGTCTTGTAACAAATCTAACCACAAACAAAAATATAATTTTCAAGAGAATAACTTGTAAGTTTTTCTTACCAAAGAAGAAACAATTTTGCTTTGTATTTACTGTTTTATGCATGTTTGAATTTGATAAATCAATATAGTTTTGAAATCAAGCACAGAAGACCCAGAAACTCACTTAACTTAACTCATGAAACAAATTGTTAATAGACTTCATAATTTTATTGTTATTGTTCCCAAACAAAACTAATATTATCACAACAATCGCAAATCTTCCTCTTTATTTTTGTTGGATTTATTTTTCATGCTTAATTCATCTGCACGTTCGAAACTATTTAGATTTGTAGATTTGTTTATCAAAATTATACGTTCCGGGCCATACTGAGTTTTGGGACCATTTGAGTATATACTCGTTTTGTTTTAACGGGCCAGATCGCATATAGGTATTCGAATAAATTCTAACTTATTTTGCAGGAACGCACAGCTAGTTCTCCGAACAACAATCAGCACAAATACTAACTTGAATCTACCGGTATGTGCATCTTTTATCTTGCTTCCACTAGAGCCCATTTAAAGCGCCTTTGTCATATAAACCTTTTTGTTCTTAAATGACACCACATGTATTTAGGACATAGATCTTTTTCCCGCTGTTTAGTTTTTTCTTTTTTAATTTCTCATAATTTCAACTTGTTTTCACTTAATTGTTGTGTTCTTGTTCCTATCTATACGATCTTATAATAACACTAAGAAATACGGCTGCTCCTATTACATATTTTTCCACATAAGAATAGAGGGACTTGAACTAACTTAAAACAAATTTAAACACCAAAATGAGATAAATAGATAAAAAAGAAGGTTCAGTGCCTCCTTGTACCTGTGAGTCAAACAGTTGAAGTATTGTTTAATGGTTCATTTAGATATTTCTTTAAGTTATTTTTTAAAGTCGATATAGTTATTGCGTTTCGAAAGTAAAAATCGACAACGACCATGTAAATATGCATTTTCTGTAATTTTCACTATTGCGTAAAATTCACTTAACCTCATTAATCATGTCAACAATAGTTAATTTATTGTTATATAAGTCAAATTTGTGACACCTTGAACTGATAAGGTAATACTCTTTGAATTCCTTTCTGCACTGACAATTTTGGCGGTCAGTATATAAAGAAGATTTAAGGCGTGCTTGCCCAGTGCGAAGTTCGTTACAAGAAAGTTAAAACATAGAAGTTAAGTTTATATATATTCGCCATCTTGATATGTCAGATTCAGAAAGCCATTCTTATCGAAACAGTCACCCGTCAATTGAAGGCGCATGTCCTAGTTCTGCATGGGAAATAAAGTCGTGATCCAACTGAGTTCAACACTGTTGATGCAACACACTTGTTCAAAAACTAATTTGACATCGCTCTTGGAAAACAATGTATCTCTATTGTTTCTGAGTAACAGGACAAACTGCAAGTCAACGCAAGATACAATAATTATTCATTTAATGAATAGAGACTTCGCAACCTTGATAACCTTTACATCAAAATTACTTTCGGTGACCCAAAAGGGGCCCTCTAACTTATTGGCTCAGAAAAGAAAGCTCTAACCTATAGAAATAAACTTTCGAAAATAGATGAGAAACATATTTGTCATACCGTTTGATTTTACAATGTAAATTGATACTTATATTGCTGACATCGCTAGAGCAGCCACTAAGACACAACGTCAAAGCCAACCCCTATATTAAAAGAATACAGCATATTTGGCAAAACGCAAACCTGGAGCTTTGGATAGAATATCTACAAAGCAGTATATACTTGGCTATCAAGCAGGATCAGGCCTGTGTTAACCCTTCAGCGCCGATCCTAGAGCACCGTTCATCGGCTTCAAGCCAAAATATGGACAAGGCGCCAACGTCGTCTGCTTTTATTGCAACTTGCCAGGTCACATTGTCCCTATTCAGCATAGCTTCAGAGAACACAGCCTCCCTCATCAATGTTCCCGTACTCTGGAGAGAAACACCGAACAAGTTGAGTATAATTTACATATCCTTTATTAACATTTCGAAACAAAAGCAAACACAAAATCAATTGTTTCCGTTAAAAACAGACTAAAAAAGTCCGTTAACTTTTGGAAAGATACAATGAAACCTAGCGAATTTACACTTAAAAATATGCTATTCGATTAAAGATTGGAATTTCTTGATTTAGCACCGAAAGTACTACTTAAAAACAACAGATCATCACCAGATCATGCGGATTTCACAGAATCAGCGATTTCGGCACTTTTACATCTTATCCTAATCCTTTATCTGTACTGTATAGCGAAAAAAAGGTTACATTTGAGGTTGCATTTGAAGGCTTAGCCTTTGCTAGAAAGGGCAATGTCACGCTTAAATTTGATTTTGACTAGTAGCGTGTACCATGACGTGAATATCCATTCCGATTATTTTAACATATATTGACATTTTTATGACACTCTTGTCACAAATGGATATTTACTTTTTCAGTAGGATTGTACTCCTTAAGCGAGGACTGTACTCTCTAGCACGTGGATAAGTTATATGATGATGTATGGTAATACACATATTATGAACTGACGAACCTTTGTACATTTATTTATATTCTGATTTTTGTGAATACTGACATAAGTCAATTTAGGGTATTTGTATATCATATCATCTCTTTTTTTTAATTTATTTATTTTAATTATATAGACATATTTGATATATATATATTTCTCTAATTCTTCGTCAATTTATCCCTTTCTGCACCCATTGTATAAAAAAAATTTAATCAACGTGTGGTTTGTTTGATCTCAGTTCTTCATTGGTTAAAATCCGATTATGACGTCGAATTTACTTGCTTTCCTCTGAATTTCCTATTGTGACGGCATGAAAAAAGGCGACCATGCCTGAGGACGTCACATAGAAAGAACACATCTTTTTGCAGATCATTCGAAAAGAAGGAATAAATTTGCCTGCGTATTGTTTGAAAATCATTAGAGAAACAGATTCCACCACCAAATCTCGTGTAATACGATATTTATCCACTCTCGACAGTCAAATTTTAAATATTTAAAACGCTCGGCGAGCCTCGCGTTTTAAATTTGAAAATTTAACTGTCTCGAGTGGATAAATATCGTATCACACTCGATGCAGTGGTAGAATCTATATATATATGCAATCACACCCTCTTCCTTTATTCGAACGTTATAATTCATTATTCTGATATATTTTTCAGATACTGCAACATATCGATGTTACTGGTATGATTTGGAGAAATTCGGGAACCATATTGATTTTTCGAAGACAATTAAGATTTTACCGAACATTTTGAAAAGCTCAGAAGCTCCGAATGCAAACAAAATATATGATAATTATTTTTCTAAATGTCAGCACTGGTGCTTAAAACATAATTTTTGCCATTTACCAGCCTCAGTCTCCACGGTTGCTCTGTTTTTTAGAGGTCTTATTCAGCAAAAAGTTTATTCGTCAGTTTTTGAAACATATTTTTTATAGAATTAGTTGGTACCATACATTTTCACAGAAGCTTAATCCTTGTTAAGATGAATTATTACTCTTATTTTAGGAGAACAACGCATGTTATCTTGCCTTTCGAATAAAAAGGAACATATAACGAAGGTTATATTTTTGAAGCTCTTTCTGTTTTACACCTAGGCCGTCAGTTATCTTTTACATTGGCATACTTGCGTCCTATGTCTACTCGGTTTTTCCGGTTTACCTTAGGTTTAAAGAATTATCATACATATGCATGTCTGATCTCAATTGACATGATGAATATCTAGAAACAAAAAACCTTCAGAGTAAACTAGATATCTTCCGCATACGTCGTTCTATCGTCATTGGGGGACTGAAAATGAAATCTGTCCTTTATTTTGACTGAATAAGTACACTTCCCTCGCGGGGTTGACGTCAGGTTCAGATAAGATTTTGTTCATAGCCATTAACTTTTATAAAAAAAAAAATCAGCAGATGTATATTGCTTCCAACAAATTGAAACCCTTATTGTATACTAAAGCAAGAGAGATAATTTTATTTGCTCTCAAATCGGTCTGCACAGTTCTAAGTTTGCGTTGCATAGTTTGAAGAGCGGAGGCGCGACAGCCGCCTCTAATATTAAAGTACCAGTTAGATTTCTTAAGGTACACGTAAGATGGCCTACTTATAAACGAGAGGCAAAAGATACCAAAGGGACATTCAAACTCGCATGTCAAAAATAACCTGGTGATGACATGGCTTAGAAAGAAAATGACCAAACAGACAAACAACAGAACACAAAACACAACATAGAAAACTAAAGACTGAGCAACACGAGCACCCGTCGTGTTGCTCATGTTTGTACAAATCAAGTAATAAGTCTAATTTGGTAAGTCATATTCGGGAAAAAGGGGACGGGGTTGTAGTTACGAGAATTGGAACATATCCGCTGTCTCCTGTGACACGGATATTCCATAAGTTTAACCATATAAGGTTTAAGGTGGATATATTGAGGACAGTATTGAACAAAAAATTCTTTTCTCGATAAATTTTCGTCAATGAATTAAAACTTAGTCGTTTACATAAAAAAAGATTTGAATGACGCGCAAATGTTGTTACATGTAGCCAATCAAACTAACGGATTCTCGTGAAACATACATGTAATTTAATTAATTATATATGTGTACTTGTAGATATGTTATATATGTTCTATATGTTATACTAAATGCCATCTTGTAGCGAACACACAACCGTATACTATGTTTGGTTTTTTCTACATTATATAGTTAAGAAAAATGTTATTTTCGTAGGAGTGAAACGAGGAAACAAATAGCGTAATTTACAGTAAAAGTAACTTGTCAACGTTAATCGTATTAATTATTCGGACCATATGCTTATCGTCGGACCATATGAGTATTTACGCATATGGTCCGGAACATGTATATTCCTACATATTTGTTCTGATTATTTTATTTGGTCTTTCCACTTTTCGTGGGAACCTTTTGTTTTTGTTCTGATCATATTTTTGTTCTGGTGTATGACATGTTCAATCATTTGTTTCAAAAACATATTGAAAGGATTTTTGGCCCATGCTATCGTACAGTGATTTCGATTTCACTGTTGACCCCACGCCCTCTTTTTTCTGTTATCTTTATTTCTCTGTAACCGTAAAATATATCAACCAAATTCCAAATTGTTTGTTAAATCTTAAGGCTGCTTCGGTCAAGTTTAACAGAAGTGATCCAATGACATCTTATGGGAGTTATTTCCCATTTCAAATTTGACATACGTAAAATGTTGAATTAACTCATACACTATAAGTCATTGAGACCTTAAGTCTTTTGATATGTAGTCCTTGCTCCATTAGGATGAAAATGAGGTCAAATTCAAAGGTCAGTGTGGTTTTCTTAGATTTGAACTGTGCTTATTATCTTTACGTCACATAAACCGTAACGGTTAGTATTAAAAGAATAATGTCAAAAAGTTGGTTATAACATTGCGCAATTTTGATGCATTTGAGTCTAAGTGTTTCGGTGACCTTTTATATG